CACACACACACACACACACACACACACACACACACTATTGTAAAAAATACACAAATAAAATTATTAACACCTGCGATTAAGAATTAAGTTTTGTATCTTAATTATAAATTCAATCAAATTAAAATGTTGTCTTTAGTAAATTAGACTTTTGTTCTTTTTCATTTAACCACACCCTCCTCGTTCGTCATCCCCTCACACCTTCCCTCTCAAATTGCGCACAAAGGTTCCGTCCCGGGTAATAGGGATTCAATTCCTTGACCCAAAAAGGGAACCACGAGCGGTTGACTTGTTGACGGAGTAAAAACGACTCTTCCAGTCGCTGACCCGTCGCAAGTCCTAAACGTGCCGCTCGGCTCGTGCGGTCAGGCCCGTTTACGTCGATCGCTGAGCCCAACGAAAAAATTCCACATCTATCAGGACGTAACATTATTAAAAAATTACTTTTATATGTATCTTTGTCTTTTAATTGTAGCACGAAAAAACACAATTTTTAAATAAATTATTATAATACACAATTATGGTTAATTATACCTATTTTTAAGTCTTCTGTTAGAATTCGTCCAATAAAAGGAGCAGCTGGGAAGAGTCTCATTGTTTCTTTAATAATTCGGTTCAAATAATCCATTTTTTGCAAATCGTCATATTTAATTGGTACAGATTTTGGAGATTCAGTGCCGTAAATTTCTGATAATTCTTTGTACGCTTTTTCCTAGTATGAAATAAATTCAAGCGATTATGTGTATTTTTTAATATATTGCTCTATATTTGTGATTAAAATTTTGTGCATTGCTTATGGAATTAATATTGCTAGCAATGACTAAAGCGTAAGTAATAATAAATGAAAATGTTTGCATAATTCTATTTAAATTTTTAACATAAATAATATATTACATATATATGTGTAATATATTATTAACTATAGTTATACTTGAAATAACATTATTTGTAAGTTTTATATATGTATTAAGTAAGTTAATAAGTATTGTATTATATTATACAATACAATGCAATACACTTATTAATTCAATAAAATTAATCTCTATGTACCTGTACTTCTGGGAAATTTACGAGCATAAAAATCACAAAATTTATTGTGGCGGCAGTTGTGTCAGTGGCCTACGTAAAATAAAAACCTGTTTTATTATACGTCTACATATAATTTGAATGTAGAAATATAAATACGTACTGCGAGTAACATTGTAATCATATGATTACAAACTTTTTGTTGAGTTAATTTTCCTTTATGACATGCTTCCAATAGAATATCGAAAACTGTCTTATTTGAACAAATATACATATAAAATAATTGATTACTTTCTTATAAAAGTAAGTTTCTTACACATATAATTTTGAAATTTTTGTAAAGAAAGAAGTAATGAAAGAAGAGAAAAAATCATTAAAAGTAGTGTTTCATCAATAAAACTTTATCAACAACAATTGTTTAAAAAAAAACTTTTCACCGTTATTTAAAAAATTTTTAAATATTATAACATTGAACAAATATAAAGACTTAAGTAAAACATTAATAAACTTACGAACTGTTTCACTGTTGGACTTGGTTGACACGTGTTTATCGAATGCATGTGTCCTTTGCTTCGTCTGACTAATTAGAAATAATATATAACATAAACAAAAAAAATTCACAAACAAAGAAATTTAGGCAGAATGGTAATAAATAAAATTTCAATATACCTCATTTTAAGCAACTTAATAGAATTTAATTGTTTCTGCTGTCTCCATTTTGTAGTACTAAGATTGAATATAACATTTAGATGCAAAAATATGTTACTTATTCTACATTTCTAAATTTCCTTTATGCTAAAACATGTTTCTTTCGTAAATCATGGCGAAAGATTTATTTAATCGTAATCATAAAATTTTATAAATAATATTAAGAATTTAGTTTTTTTTTTCATTACTATAATTAAAATATTTACAATTCTTAAAAAAAAAAAAAAATAATATATATATATATATATATCTGTTTTAAAAACATTTATTTCTATGATATAAATTTGACATTACTTATAAGAATTTAAATTAAATACATTTATACCTCGTCATACATTTATACATTCGGTTTAATAATTGTGATTCCAATTTGACGCCCAATATAATTTTTATAGTGTCACATAAAAAAATAGATTAATATTCATTATAATATCTGAGTACATAAACTGTATTTACATAGAAAGTTGCCAATTATCTAATTTTTGAATTAAACTGTAAACTTTATTTATTTATTTTTTTTTATGAATTGAGATAGATCCATTTTCTTCATTTTCCAGTAATATTACCAATATTGTTTTCGTAATCTAATATTATTGGAATATTTTTACTCCAAACAACTTACGAGTCCACTCTAATATATTTGTAGAACAATCATTAGCATTTATGGACGAATTAGAAAAAGTTGAAAAAGATGGAAATGGAATTATCTTTCTTGACTTTGTATATGGACAAATTTTGAATATTGCACTTTGCTTCATCTGAGTAATTAGAAATTATATATAACATAAACAAAAAAAAACAAATATTTATCACTCAGTCCGACTGGCCTCGGGCATTATGCATAATGCCTCATTCATCACTTACAATTAGTCCATAACGTATATAACGCAGACTTAAGTGCGAGAATCATTATTTTATTCCAATAATATTAGATTACGAAAACAATATTGATAATATTACTGGAAAATGAAGAAAATGGATCTATCTCAATTCATAAAAAAAAATAAATAAATAAAGTTTACAGTTTAATTCAAAAACTAGATAATTGGCAACTCTCTATGTAAATACAGTTTATGTACTCAGATATTATAATGAATATTAATCTATTTTTTTATGTGACACTATAGAAATTATATTGGGCGTCAAATTGGAATCACAATTATTAAACCGAATGTATAAATGTATGACGAGGTATAAATGTATTTAATTTAAATTCTTATAAGTAATGTCAAATTTATATCATAGAAATAAATGTTTTTAAAACAGATATATATATTAGGACCTTGAATAAGTTCTCGCTTTGTTTTTTTAGTTAAAAAAAAACATTAATTTAAAATATAAGGCTTACAATAACTTTACTCAAAGTATTGTCCATCATTAGAGACCACTTTCTCCCATCTTTCTGGCAGTAATTGAATCCCCCGTCGAAAAAACGATTCATCTTTTGACGCAATCCATGAATCGACCCATTTTTCGGTTTCTTCGAAAGAATGGAAGCGCTGCTCGCTCAAACCATGCGCCATCGACCAAAACAAGTGGTAATCCGAGGGGGCTATGTCCGGTGAATACGGCGGGTGAGGTAGAACTTCCCATTGAAGCGTTTCCAGGTAAGTTTTGACTGGTTTTGCCACATGTGGCCGAGCATTGTCATGTAACAAAATGACTTTGTCGTGTCTCTGCCCGTATAGTGGCCGCTTTTCTTTTAGAGCTCGACTCAAACGCATCATCTGAAGTCGATAGCGAGCTCCCGTGATAGTTTCATTAGGTTTAAGCAGCTCATAATAAATTACGCCCTGCTGATCCCACCAAATGCAGAGCAGAAGTTTCGAACCATGGATATTCGGCTTTGCCGACGATGTTGATGCATGGCCGGGCTTACCCCACGATTTTCTACGCTTAGGATTATCGTAGTGTATCCACTTTTCATCTCCAGTGATGATACGGTGCAGAAAGCCTTTTCTTTTATGCCGTTGAAGCAGCAATTCACACATGAGAAAACGTCGTTCAACGTCTCTCGGCTTCAACTCATACGGCACCCAATGTCCTTGCTTTTGGATCATTCCTAACGCTTTTAAACGTTTTGAAACTGTTGACGCATCTACTTGCAATGTTTTCCCGAGCTCTACTAGCGTCTGACATGGATCTAGATCAAGCAATGCCTCCAATTCTTCGTCTTCAAACTTTGTCGGTGCTCCAGAACGTTCTTTATCTTCAAGGTCAAAGTCATTATTTTTAAAGCGCCTAAACCAGTCTCTGCATGTCGTATTCGACAGAGCATTGTCACCATATGTTTCAACAAGAATTCTGTGTGCTTCAGCTGCAGATTTCTTTTAAATAAAGCAGTGCAATAAAATTCCCCGCAAAAACACTTTATTTGGCACAAAAGTAGACATTTTCGCAATAGGTAATTAAACACGTGGTTGACACTGTGGTAAACTGTATCTACTAGAATTTGAGGTTACATATAGTACTACTTAGCTGATGCGTTTCCGTACGAAATTCCATGCACAGAGTGCCGCTACGCCATCATTTAAGAAACAGCGAGAACTTATTCAAGGACCTAATATTACACATTAATACCTCATCAATACGTTTTCTTGCGTATATTAAGTTTGTAAAACGCAGTCCAGCATTTATACTTCTATGAAATATAAATAGAACTCATTCGTCGGCATCACGCACACGATGTCAAATTACGCTTGCTGTTATCGTGAGAAAATTATGACGACGCATTGGGAAAAGCTAATTGCGCGTGACGTCACGTCTTCGGAAGCTTACAAAGGATGAATTTCACAAACACCGCAGATCCTTGTCTATTAAGAAAAGCCGCTTCCCTCTGGGGAAGCGTTGTTCTTAGATATAATCTGCGCGCGATATTCTCTGCGTATCGTACTTGCGG